CAGCGCATCATCCAGGTGCCTAGGGGGACGGAGAGGGAGGGAGGGAGGGGGAGGGGGGGAGGGGGAGGGAAAGACGAACCACACAGGAGAGGGAGGGATGGGGGAGGGGGGAGTGTTTTCCATGGAAAATAGGCTTTGCATAAAAGGGAAAACGCCGCTTCATACCCTTAAAATGAACCTGAAGGAGAGGAAGTATGTCATCATATGTCACAACAACATCTTTTACCCCGTAAACTACAACCATGAGTAAAAGTGAGATTATTCTCAGCTCCGCTCTCATCAAGATATAGAACATTTTTTTCCTGGTAGATAGCCTCCGGTACCTCAACATGCAAAAAGAACAAGAAGAACAAAATTAAGAGGAAGAAGAAGAACAAGAAGAACAAGACGAAAAGTGGGTATTCTTTCCTACCGTCAGTCGTCCAAAGGCACCATCTGAACCCACCCTCCTTCTCCGGAACCCGCAGTGCAGCACTACCACAGAAAGAAGTTGGTGTGAAAGGCATACAAGGCGTACCTTAGGGCCTGCAGCATCCGCGCAACGCGCACCGCCAAGACTGCCGCACCGCCAGACGCCTCGGAAGCCGCAGGCCACGTCGCGGCCACGGTGACTACGGGCATGAGGGGGCCGAAACCCACCAGCTCCGAATCCTCCGGCAGGCTGCGGTGCCGTACAGCGGGGTCCTACACACGAGCGGGCAGAAAACACGGGGAGATCAGTTGGTTGGCAGTTGCACGGCAATCACGTGGCATAGGACCTGCATTCCGACAACACCTATTATTGACACATCATACGGATAAACCGTCCTTTGTTGCGTACCCTGTAAAGTTATGGTTTCTGTTTTCAGTCATGGTTTCGGAGCCCGCGCTCCATGGACTCCGGGTTAACTTAACGCGCTCCATACACTCGTGAGAACTTCGCCGCATGGATACGAAAATGTATTCAGCCTTATCTTAATATACCTCTATATAGCTTTATCAAGCTAAGAGCTTTAGGGCGATGTGCTTCTAAGCAGAGGACACTCGCTTTGGAGACTCCATGCTCGCAGCTCCACTCCTCGCTTTGCCTCTCCATCCCCCCCGACCCGACATGGATAGCACCGCACGTATAAGCACCCCCCCTGTGCACCCCACCAATGGGCCAGTGCACATGGGCCCTACATGCCCCTACAAACGGCACAAACGAACCTGCCAGTCTTGGTCGTGCGCCCGCCGCCGCGTCAGGTCCGACAGGTGGGACGCCAGGCGGGCAGCCGCCACCAGGAACGAGCTGCGTGCCGTCACCTCCGCCACCACCTCCGGCGGAGCCTCGCTGCCGCCGCCGCCAGCAGCGACGGCCGCCGCCGCCGCCGCGCCAGCCATACCTGGCGGCTTCGGACTCAGCACCTCCGGGTTGGAAACCATCCACGCAAGCATTACGTGACAGGCCGTCGACACCGCCCCGAAACCAGTATCCACGTCGCCGACGCCGCCGGCGGCAGCGGCGGCGCCAGCCATGCTTGCAGTGACCGCCGTCACCGCCGCCGCAAACCGCATCGCTACTGCCAGGGCGTAGCAAAGCAGCTCCGCGCGCTTCGCTGCAGCGGCGTAACTGGCGGAGGTGTCACCGCCGCCGGTGACGCCGCCGCCGGTCGTGACGTTGTGTACGGAAAAGATATTCATAATGGCTAGGTGGAAGAGAAGTTGGTCGGCCTCGGGGGCCTTTTGAAGGATGGTACGGCAGCCAGGATGACCTGCATGCACCGAAAATCCGGATCCCAAAACCAGGTCCGGATTCAGTTCGGGAATAGGGTAGATCGAGAAAATGGTTAGGATCAGATTGACAACAGGGTCCAGATGAAAAATAGGGGGTTAGAAGCATATGCGAGGAAAAAGGATTTTACTGGAGATACAAAGCACTTGGGGGATAGAAAAGCTACGGGGATATGCTGGGTGCCTGAAATGGATATGCTAGGATGTGCTGGGTAATATCAACTGCCGAACGTTGGGGCCAGGAAATGTCCCAGCCCTCGGCGGTTGAAGGTTGGGCCCTTAGCTAGCATCAACCCTAGGCAGGTGATATATCGCCTTGCAAGAGTCTCTCACTTCTTCCTCTCACTCTTGCCTCAAACCGAAGGCTCCAACCCCTTTCTCCCGACAACCAATTTCAACACCCAGCCCAATGCACAATGCCCAAACCACAGCCTGTGACTCTCATCCCATCATCCTCACCGAGCAATGCCTCCAAGTCATGCATCGCCGCCGCCAGCACTTCCGGAAACTGGTGCAGGTTAATCTTGTCGAAAAGCATGCCGTGCAGTCGTACAAATCGTACAGATACGTCAGCCACGTGCCCCGCGGCCGCGCGCGAATCACCGCCTTCATGGCCGCCTTGCAGCGCCGCAGCCGCGTGTGAAGCGGCTATGCTGCCGTACCTACACAACAGTACAATGTACGGGAGTGCAGTACAGAGGGCGCGTCAACACCGCGACAATACGGACCGTCACTTAGCGGGGTGGTAAGTAACACAAAACCACGTGGGCATTGCGCTTTTGTACGTACTTGTTGTACATTCATGTCGTACACAGACTTCAATCATCACGCAATCAAATCTCCACAAAGAACAGAACAGTGACAATGGGTTGTTACAGGGCCAGCAAATCGTCCCTTAGCGCGGGTATTTTTATTCCCGGTCGGGACATCATCATTGCTGTCCCTACAAAAATCGTACCTGGCCAACTGTTACCCGTCTCCGTACAACGCCCGAACCCCTTGACGTCGTCAAACCCATCCAGACAGAGCACATGTATTCATCCATCCGCCACCGCACGAACATGATTTGACGGTGTTCGCAGATCGCCCCCGCAACCGCATCAACGGGTCCCATCAGCCATCATATCAGACAGAGAACGACAAACACACATGAAAGACAGAGAGAAAAAACCGGCAGCATGTCAGCGCCGAAGAAACGCAAGCTGCCGAATGGGGCAAGAAAAGATGCATGCACACCGTAAAATCATTTCATTTTATAAGCTAGTTGGCTCGGCGCAGCCCTATAGGTGAAATGCGGGAAGCAGTACAAAACGTATTACCCGGAAAACGTCCGAAAGAGAGGGAAATAAAGTTGTTCAGTTCATCATCCTATAAACGCTTCAACAAAATTCATTCAAACGACTAAAAAAGCGTCGGGGGTGGTTCGCGCAGAAAGCGTTTCGGACATAGTTTTGAAAGCCTGGAAGCCACCTTGAAAGCTAACAACTGAGAACAGCTAACTGGGCTTTGGACGCCGAAACCGATCTGGGCGCGAGACCTAACAGGACGGCACAGGACATGATCAAAAGAAATATTTTTGGCCGCCGATGTTTCTAATCAAGAAATCAGGGTTTTCCTATCGAGTTGTCCATTTCCCGATTAAACCCACATTTTCTGACCACCATTTAGGGGCTCTCTTACTCCCCAGTTTTCCATCTTCGCCTCTTCCTAACCCTACTTTGCATAAATGCTTACCTGTTTCTGTTTTTTTCAAACAGCAGCATCAAATTTTCCCGGGCGGTCGCGAAGGGCATCGCCACCGCCAGGCTGCGGAAATAATAGTACACTGCCCGCAGCTCGTCGTTGGTGTAGTACGACATCACGGCCATCTGGTTGTACGGATTGCCAGACCCCGGCAGGACGCGAGCCGCCTGGCGGTAGTACGACATGGCACGCTCCCACAGCGGCCTCGCCGACGTTGGGCGCTCCTTCAGGGCCATGCTCTGGTACCTGTGCGCGGACGCGAACGCGAGCGCAGCGAGGAGAAAGCGGGAAAAAAGATAAATAACAACAAATAATAACAAATGAAAATGATGATAATGATGCAATAATTATAATAGTAATAGTAATAATAATAGCATTAAACAAACGACATAACGTCACAAGACATTCCATTCTTCCAGGCAGCGCACCCCACTGCACTGAATCACACCGGGCAGGGCCCCCCCCATCACACACACACACACACACATACACACGCACCTGCAAAGGTCGCCCAGATAGATGAGGCAGCGGTGCACAGACTGCCGCACCTCCGGCGCCCGCGGTCCCGTAGCTCGCGGCACGCACTCCTGTATCTCATTTTGCAGCGCCGCGTCTAAATCCACCACCGCGCCCACGCTGCCATGCACCCACTGCAGCTTCCACACAGTCTTGCGGTAAAACGCCAGCGCGTCGTCTAGAAACCGCAAGTAGGCCCCCGTGGTACGTGCCAGCTGCGCGCGGGCCTCCTCCGGCGTGGCCAGCTGTACGGCCGCGGCCGCCGGCGCTGGCGGCGACACGCCGGCGCCGTTCGGCGAGATGGTGGTGGTGGCGGCCGGGGCCGCGGCGGTAGCAGCAGCGGCGGTGCCCTTGGCCAGCGCCTCCAGCGCCCGCGTGCGGCTCCGAAACTCCTCTATGGGCTTGTAAAACACGGCCTTCCACAGGTTAGGTTCCACCTCGTGTGCGCATGAGAACTCGTAGTGACCGAACAGCAGCGCCTCGTAGGTGCCCTGAAGCGCGCCACGCAGGCGGCGGACGTCGTGATCCCAGAAGCTCTTCTTACGAAGCTCGGCACGCAGTCGCTTCTCAAGCTCTAGGGCCTGGTCCCATATCGGCGGCGCGGGGAGGTGGTGGTGGCGTCCGGCGCCGCCTACGGCGGCGGAGCCGCCGCCTGCGGCTGCGATTGCCGCGGCGGCCACGGGGTTGGTGCCGGCGGCGGCGGCGGCGGCGGCGCCGCCATCGCCTAAAGCCGGTAATGCGCCGCGATACGGGGTTAGCGGCAGCGGCTTGGAGATTAGGCCGGCCGGGAGGATGTGGCAGGCCGCTGTTGGTGATGAGGGTTCGTACAGCATGGTGTCTGAATGGCTAGCTTGCTCTCCTTAGCTGCTATTGACAGCTGGCTGCTGAGTGTGCTGTAGATTGAAAGCTCCGCTTCGCAGCGGACGCCGCAAGTGCCGTCTGGAGATGGACGGTGCGCCCTTAGAGCGCGAATTATAGTTTTATACTTGAAAACGCATGCGGACTGGTGTTACGGGCCGGAAGATAGCGCGAAGCCCTGTCCGAGTCCAGCCTTAAGTGCCGCCTCTTCTGCGGCTCCTCACGCCCCTGGAAGGATGCGTTTACCTCTAATTTACGTCTAGCTCTGAGAAGTGCACCTAAGCCGCCTCCACACCGTTGGCCATCGTCTCAGCCAACAAACTGCCGAGTGCCGACGTGTCCTGCGAGATGCCTGTGACACCTCTGGGCTCGATTACGCTCTATTGGAAGTCAAGCAGAGCTAATATTCTACAACTGGCTCCTCGTTTGCGCCGTTTGGCGAAGCCAGGAAACACTTTCCAAGCTGTCCAAGCGCTTTTCCACGAGGTCAGGCTCCAAACCCTATAGTTCTACGTACAATAGCAACCTGCATGGGGTTTGCAACAAGTTTTATCCAAAAGTCAACAAAGGAAACTTGAGCGTCCGTGAGGCTAGGCGAGCCGGACCCGAAGAGCAAGAAACAACCGCAAGTACTGGCATGTTGGCACGACAGGAATAATCATATGCTAACAGAAAAACATGTACCTACCAACCCAAGCGCGTCACGGCTGCTCCGAGTCTTTATAATTGCTTAGCTTTGGTAGAAACCTCTAATTTCAACTTCGTTGCCTTAGAGCGGCACAAAGCTGTGGCCCTTACGGAGCTTTGGTTCGGTATCGTGGCCGAAATTTGCTGTGCGTCTGCTATTACAAAATGAGCAGCTATTGGATAGCCTTTTGGGAATGCATATGCTAAAACAGGCGTGAAAAGATAATTGGTCAGCAGCCGTCGCTGAATGACGCATGGGAAGTGCATAATATGGACGAGCATCCACCAAACTAAAAGGCGCTCTCTCCTTTCACGCAATTTATGGCATGATTCTTTGTCTGCAATCTTAACACAGTTCACTCCTGGGCCGCAAGCGGCCTTATGGATGCCTTGCCTCCCGTAGAGCCAAAAAGGAGCCCTCTTGGCATGGCGGACAACAAAACTGAGCATCGCCCTTCTGGGGGACTTCAGTCGGGCAGCGTGACTGTTACCTTGCAGGTATGCCCGTAACATTCGTGTGCACACTCGTTGCGTGGAATTACTGTCGTGGACTACGGCCTGGCATTTCGCCTCGTTCTCCTCGCCTGGAAAGGAAATCTCTCCTCTGTTCATAAACCATTCGAGCACACAATCCACCCACTTCTCAGGGTGTCATCCTCGTTTTTTCCTATGCGCGTTATACTTGCTCAGCCGGGTCCTCAGGGCTCATAATTTGAACGTGTGGCCGCGCGAGGCCAGCGAAAGGCGACCTACACCCACCAATAAAACAACACCACTCCCAAATCACACTAACCAAAAAATTTCTAAACCCACAAAGAGGCCAACCGCAACTCTCCGCTGCTCATAACTTAACCCAGCCGGTTTCGAACCGTGACGTTGGACCGATCGAAAAAACTTATACCCTGTCCCCTGCCAGGCACCTTTATTGTGGGGGTTGATGCATGTGGCAAGTTTTGTGAACAGCCGCTTTTACTCTCCGTCGGCGTTTTCCCTCACCACGCGCCGCACTCACTCGGCCCCCCTTCCAACTGTCCTTTGGCACTGGTGTCTCTTCTCCCTACTTCCTTTTTTTTCACACACACAAACACATACATACATACGCACGCCGGGACAATTGCCCGTTCTTGAATTGATTGAAGTCCAGGTACGCACACACAGCGACATACATACGCACCGCAGGCGGCCTCCCTGTACGGCATACACTTTGTACGGCATGCACCCGTGCAGGACTTGTCCTTCATCGTGAAGAACAGCAAGAAGGGTCCCGATGGCAAGCACTCCGATCTGGCCCTGGTCAACTGCGTGTCTGCCTGGTTCGAACCCGGCAAGATGAGCGCACTGGTGGGCCCTATGGCTGGGGGGCCCCTGGAAGGGTCCTCTGTGTGTGACGGCGTGACGGCGTGTGTGTGTGACGGCGTGTGTGTGTGTGACGGCATGTGTGTGTGACGGCGTGACGGTGTGTGTGTGTGTGACGGCGTGTGTGTGTATGTGTGTCTCGGGGGACGTATTTACATACAGACATACAGGCGTGCATGCAGACAGACGTATAGTATAGGAGGGCGTTGACAGGAGCGCATTTACCCCAGGATGGGGCTCTCCATCAGGAGGCCATCAGCAGCGGTAACTCAACATCAGGTAGCTCACACGCCCCATTCCCACCACTGCGTGACCCGCCTTTCCGCTGCATTTCGCTACGTCTGCTCGCTTGCGCCCCTCCTGTAAATATTTCTCCCTCCTTCCTTCCTTTCCTCCTTTCCCCCCAATCGTCTGTGTTTCGGCGTATCCCTCCCTACCTTTTGGTCAGTTCTACTTCCTGTACACTCTTGCCCTGGCAGCAGCTTCACTCGTTCGTGGTTCGTGTTTCCCTACCTACCTTCCCTACCTACCTCCCATGCCCCTCCCCTCCTCTATCACGCGTCTATCTCTTCGGTGTCAGCATCACTCGTCGGTGGGGCTCCTCTGCCCCCCTTCTCCCTCCTCTTTCAGATGGGCCCCAGCGGCAGCGGCAAGACGACTTTGCTGGATCTGTTGGCGGGCCGCAAGACCGCGGGTCGTGTGGAGGGGGAGCTGCTGTTCAGCGGCATAAGGCCCTCCCGGGAGTACCAGAAGAGGTACTGCGGATACGTGGAACAGGTGGGGGGGGGGGGAATGAGGGGGAAGAGGGGGGAAGAGTGATGGTGTAGGACCAGACAGACAGACAGACAGACAGGCCAACGTGTTGGCAGGGCGGGAGCGAAACCCGGGAAGGGGGGCCGAAAGAAAACACTAGTGCACGGAAGTTCTTCCCTGGAGGGCGCTTTCAGACGATGTAGAGTACGCGTCATATTATTGGTTTTATTGTGTGTGTGTTTGTGTGTTTCCTCCTGTGCTTTGGCGTATTCGCAGTTCGACACGCTGTTACCCATTCTGACTGTACGGGAGATGTTGATGTACACGGCGGAGCTCAAGCGGCCGCTGTCGGAGCCTCTAGCGGCCAAAAGAGAGGAGGTACGTGAGCGCGTGTGCGGGGGGGGGGAAGGGCCCCGGGGGGGTTAACTGGGGGGGGAGTTTGGGGGTTACGGGGGACACTCACCGCGGGCGGGGAAGAAATATGGGTTTAAGGGTTTTTGTGGCTGCAGGCAGTGGGTTGGACGAAGGGAATGGGCGACGTTGCCAAAACACAAATTATCCGTTTCCCCCGGACACCCCACATGATGGATTGCCCCGGCCCCGGGGATGAGTGGGTTGACTCTTGTCTCTCGAACTGGGTTCGCCTAGTTGTGTGAATGTGTGGCTGTGCTCCTCTCCCACCCCCCACCCCACTCCCCATTCCCCCCGCTGCGGCCTCAAAGTGCGGATGGCATTGCTACTGCTACTGAGCCGGGTATTGCTACATCCTTGCTGCATGTGCTGCTACTGCTACTGCTGCTCCTACTGCTGCTACTGTTGTTGTTGTTGTCCTCCCCTCCCGCCCCATCAGGTGAACAGGTTGTTAGACCGTCTGGCTCTGACCCGGTGTGCGGAGGTTCGGATCGGCAGCCCTGCCGCCCGCGGCATCAGCGGCGGCCAGGCCAAGAGAACCAACATCGCCATTGCGCTCATCACCAATCCGCGAGTGCTGTTCCTGGGTGGGTGTACGGACGGGTATACGGTTGAATGGGATGGTTACGGCGTACGGATGTACGGATGTACGGAGAGGGCCACGTTCAGTGGGGACTGATGTGATGGCGAAACACATTATCGGCAAAAAAACAATTGTTTGGATTTGGTAATGGCATTATGTGGGTTTATTATTGCTGTTGTTTGTTATACTTCATTTCCTCACCATCCTATATCTGTCCAGCCGCCCTCATCTGGGTCTCCTGTTCTCTTGCTCGCCGCATTTTCGCCCCCCACGGCTCCATCCGCTCCTCAAGACACCAAAGCCCTCCTAACCCCCCCCCCCGCTGCGCTCCGGAACTGACACCTGACCCTTTGCCTGACATTTCGTTGCTGCTACTGCCACTCGGGCGCATGTACGGGAACGACGTATTCTTGTTGTCGTACGACGGTCAGATGAACCAACTACGGGACTGGACTCGTACACAGCCAACGAGGTATGTACGGCGCAGAGTGGGACTCCCGCCTCCTGCCGCTACTGCTACTGCTCCCGGCCTCCTATTTCCCCCCCGACCTCCTATTTCCCCCCCGGCGCCCTGCACAGGTGATGTTGGCTGTCCAGTCTCTTGCTCGCGGCGGGGTGACGGTGGTGGCCACCGTGCACAGCCCCACAGCCTTCTGCTTCTCACTCTTCGACAGGTGGGGGATGCGGGGGGGGGGGAAGGAGGAGGGAGGGGGCGGGTAAGAGGGACTGGCTGGGGGAGAGTGTGCGTGTATATGTATGTATATGAGCGAATGTACGACAGTGATAATGGGGAAATATGTTCAGACGCTGGTTTGGATGCCTGGGGGTTAGCTGAAAAGGGGGGAGAAAGACGAATTACGCACGAGTGAAGCTGAAGTTGATGCCAAGGGTAGAGTGATACGGGTGAGGGGGGTAGAGTGATGCCAAGGGTAGAGTGATACGGGTGAGGGGGGGAGGCGCAGCTGCTCAATGCGGGCTAGGGCATCATAACCCACATGGCCACACGGCAGTCGCATTCCAATGGAGTCCATTTCTTGTCCACCTGGGCAAGATATGTAGACATATTTCAGACATAATTCAGACATATTTTGAGGACGTATTTTCAGACATTAATGTCTTTCGTTTCATCACACCTAATGTTGTTCGTATACTACGCAGGCTTCTGATGCTGGTGGGCGGTCGTACAGTATACTTCGGTCCGCAGGATCATCGAGCCATTCAGTATTTCCAGTCGTGTGGACCCTTCCTGGAGTCTGATCCCGAGGGGCTCGGGGGTGAGCAGGAGGAGGAAGAGGAGGGGGAGGGGGGGAAGTTGTGGGTTTGAGAGGTTTCTGCTATTCAGTGTTTTTCCTCCGTCGCACGACGAAAATCCCGCCCCCTCCCCCCCTCCTGGTGGTTTCTTCCCTACCAGATCGGTCCCTTCCCTTTATACACTCTTTCCCCCTCCATCCCCCCCCATCCCCCCCTCGTCCCCCCTTCCTCGCCCCTGCCCCCCCTAAAGGGCCGGGTCACAACAGCGCCGAGTTCCTGGTGGACATCATCACCGAGGGGGACAGGGCGGGAAAGGTGGGCGCGGGTTGAAGCGCAGCGGGTTTTGTGCCGGTCGGGGTTGTGCAGGCGGGGTTTTAGGGTTTTCTCTAGGCTAGGTGGGACTTGGGGGAGCATGTGTTTTAATTGGGTGCAGTACTGACAGTTGCAAACGTGCAAAAACTTGGGATGGGAAGGGTTTCGCGGCCGGGTTTAGGAACACGACAGACAGACAGGCATATATACATACGTACGTACATACACGGTCCAACGATCTGGGTTATGGATTGTTTGTTCGCATCCCCAACCATCTCAACTATGCTAACGACCGAACCGTTGCAACCAACTGCCGCTGCCAGGGCCCTGCTTTTGCCGACGCTTACGGGAGCAGCAGTCTCGCGGCGGAAAACGCCGCCGCGTTGCAAAGCCATTTGGCCGCGTTCAAGAACTCGGAGCTCCCACCGGTGAGGTGGTTACGGTTGCACTGTTGGCGGTTGCTGTTGACAGCTGTGGTTGGTGGTTGACAACGCAAACGCAATTTGGGGCCAGTGTGGAGAGGAGAGGAGAGGAAATGTACGAGGCCGACAAGGGCCTCGGAATGGATTGGCACGCGTAGCAAAACAATATATATATATATACTCCCTCCCTCCCTCCCTCCCTCCCTCCTGTATATACTCCCTCCCTCCTGTATATATATATACTCCCTCCCTCCTGTATATATATATATATATATATACAGGAGGGAGAAGTATGAGAAGAGGGAGGAGAGGGAAGTTCAAGCTGGGAGCTGTTCTGCCCTGCATGATGCTGGGGTCGTTAACCCAACCCCACTTGTACGGCTTTCCTGCGTACGGCAGGATGTGGCCAAGGAGCTGGCGGTAAAGCGAGCCACGGTGACGCCCTGGTGGTGGGGCATCTACGTGTACCTCAAATACCGGTAAGTACGGCAAAACACACACATACACACATGCGCACACACACACGCACACACGCTCGCTCGCGCGTTTAAACACACACGCGCCAGGCACAGGCGCGACACGAACACGTCCCAGCTGCCGGCTGCATCACATCGTATCGCTTCATTGACATATCGCATTCAGCGGACTTCCTCCCCTCCCCCCTCCCGCCTTCCCCCTCCCCCCTCCCCGCGTCACTCAGGACTGCCCGCAATTACATGGACCCGGCCTTCCTGCTCCCGCGAGTCATGGACAAGTTGGTGATTGCACTGCTGGTCATGACGCTCTACCTTGGTATCGGGGACAACCTGGCATGTGAGTTGGGGCAGTTGACGGTTGGCGGTTGAAATTAAAAACGCTTGGCATGGTGGCGGTTGGGACAACCAGCTTTTGAATTGATTGTTTAGTTTATGGATAATTATTATTTAATTCACCTGAACTGGATAATGCGTCTGGGTGCAGAAAAATGTACAGTCGAACCATTTTAAAAACAACGTTACGATGTATGTTGTTTACAACAATATAAATTGTTTTTTTTATGTTGCAAACCGATTCCCTTGGGTGCTGTACCTGGTGGCGTAAGGCGCATCCCCTCACTCTTTCCTTCCTTCCTTCCTTGCTTCCTTGCTTGTTGGTTAGCAACTGAGCCTAAGCCACCTCAGGTCATTTCGCCTTGCCGTTCCTGATTTCATAAAACTGGTACCTTTTAGTTTAGGACATTCGAAAAAAATTTCGATTTTACCTAAATCTCTCCAATTTTTTTATTGTGTTTATATTGTGTAGCCAACAACATCATCAACATCGCGGCAGTGCTGTTCATGTGGTCGGCCACCACGGGCTTCGTGGCGGCCTCCTACGTGCCCTCGCTGGTGCTGGAACGAGGCCTTTTTGTGCGGGAGAGAAACGATGGTGGGTGCAACTAAAAAAGCTCCTACGACGATCTACGACGTACAATACGACGTACTACTACGAAATTTTTGTGTACGAACAAAAGTATGATTAAGACAAGCTTTTCATGAAGGTGCTTATGTATTTATGTATTATATCGTATGTAAGTATGTATGTATGTGCGTAGGGTAGCTTTGTGCATACGTACAAGATATGCACAAAGCGGTCCCCCTACGAGGCCTAGCGTCCCTTTTCCCCCCCGGCCTTTTTGGAGAGCCAGTTGGGTTTTCGTCACTCAGGGGGCCACCCGTATGCCCACGGAGGTGTTGCCTTTTGCTGGTTGTCGGTTGTCGGTTGTTCAGGACTCTACCTGGCGCCTACCTACCTAACCGCCAAACTGCTGGACGAGATTCTGATCAACTCAGTCGCCTCCTTGGGTATCTCAGCCTTCACCTTTTACGGCATTCAGTTGCTGAACAACTTCGGCGTCTTTTATGTGTCGTACTTTGTGGGCGTGTGTGTGGGCATTTCCATGGCGTACTTCGTGGCATCGTTCGCGCCCAATATGGTGAGTGGTTGGTGGTTGGAAAGGGGTGGTGAGTTGGTTGAGGAGGTTATTACGCTGGGTACGACAAACTGAATACTAGGAGTTTTTCTGGGTGGAGAGGATGCGCGGCGGGCACGGTAAGATTGGTTTGGAGGACGGTTGGCCGGTGTGTGTTCGGGGATGTTAAGACGGGGATCCTGCAGGGTCGGCTGGCTGGGTCAATTTAGTTGGTTAGTTCGTTGGCGTTGCGGTTGAGCCGCACGGTTTGTACCACACGGCTCCGCGCCACTTCTCCCGCCACGAAATCTAGCTGTTATCCCTGATTAATAACCACCCCTTCCCGACTTGACTTGACTTGACTTGAAGTGCATGTGTTTCCCCGGCCTCCCCCCCTCCCCCCCCCGCGCGCCCTCCGCGCCAATACCGGTTCACCAGGATGTGGCCAACGCTCTGCTACCCACCTACGCCGTGACGCTGCTGTTCTTCGCGGGCTTCCTCATCCGCCAAGACCAGATGCCGCCGTGGTGGAAGTGGTATTCGTACATTGACTTTGCGAGATACAGCTGGGGGGCTGTCATGATCAATCAGTTCAAGCACCACGACACTCCCTGGATTGGTGGGTGGTGTGGAGGAGTGGGTGTATGTGCGTGTGAAAGATGTGGTACGGCAGGAAGGGGGACACGTCGTCTCATGCCGCGTCATGCCACGTCATGCCCTGCCCCCCGTGAGTTCACATCGTCAGCAGTAGCAGGAGCAGGAGCAGCTGTAGCATGTCCCGCCTCTTTTCCCTCCTCAACGTCTCTCCTCCATCCTTTCCCCACCTCCACCTCCACCTCCCCATAATTGGCAACCACACGCAACCAAACACACCCACACTCCGGCCCCTCTGCTCCCCCCCCACCCTGCCTACCTCAGGTGGCAAGACCGTACTGCAGTACTACTCCTTGGACGGAATTTCGGAGTGGACCTACGTGGTGAGGGAGTGGCACCACGGCTGACACCACGGAGCCGATAGGCGCGAACTCAGGGAGAGGCCCCCGTCCTCGACGGACGTTCTCCCCCCCGCATATGCTAAGTGGAACTTGTCACTCTTCTCATTCTTGTAACTCTTGTTATAAGAATACTCTTTCTAAACTGTTGCTACAAGAATAATCTTGTTACTCTTGTTACTCATTAGCCACAATTTTTGCCAAGCGCTGAAGGGGAGAGGGGCTTGCACGAGCCGGTCTATGGGGCGGGGCGCGCGCAGCGTGCACCGCGGCTTTTAGGAATAAGGTGTCCTTTTAAAGAGAATATGTTGTGGGCTGTATGCAACCCAGGAGTAACGTTTGGGGGTGAGTGAGGAGGGGTCTTAGGAGGGCGGACTTCCGGGCTGACCGTGTTGGATACGCCCCCTTTACCCGTTTCCTATCGTATACCTTTCTCTCCTGTCACGCATTGTGTCCTTTCGTGGGTCTTAACAGCCCCGTTTGCGCCCTCTTTTACCTCTATTTTGCTGATCATCTGCTGCTTCCCAATGTGCATGTGCGTGTGTGTGTGTGTGTGTTTTGCCGTACCCCTCGGTTCTTGGGCTGCCCACCACCTCAGGGATACACCTCCTTGTTCTTCGTCTTCTTCTACGTTTGCACCGCCACCATCCTGACCTTCAAACAGTACCAGCTGCGCTAAGGCGCGTGTTGTTGTGGGGGTGGTGGTGGGGGTGGGGGTGGTAGTGAGGGGGGTGAAGATGTGGGAGTGACGGAGGGGGAGAACTGGGGAGGCCTAACGACTGCTGCGCCTGTCAAGCTGTTGGCGCCGTGGCGCTGGCGCTGGTGCTGCTACCAAGGTTGACTCTTCCCGATATCGCACCGCCACCATCATCATTAGGATGACGCTCTTCCTCTCTGTTTTTCTTCTTGCTCACGGATATTCTCATCATCGCAACATCGTCGTCTGCGTCGTCAAGGTCTGCCGCCAGAACTACAGCCACCACCAGCAGCAGCAGCAGCAACAACAGCAGCATCACGGACAGTAGCAGTAGCAGTAGCAGCAGCAGCAGCAGCAACAACCCCATGAAAGGGGGGGTACGAGGGCGGCATGTGCCGCCTGCTGCTACTCCTGCTGATGCCCAATGAAGCAGCGCAAGAGGGGCCCCGGCTCATTCGCTGCTGCGGGATTCGGTCTCGTACACTTTCACACATGCGAGCGTGTGAGTGTGTGTGTGTGTATATATATATATAAGAGTATCTTCCTCCTTTAGGGCCCTCGGAAATGGCATTGTCAGGGTCGTCCACCCGGCTGGCTGCAGGGCCTTCCGACAATCCTTGGCGCCTTTGACAGTTGTGACGGTGGAGATATTCTGTGAGCTGGTTCGGGCTTGGAGCGCGTCGCGTCTGCCCGTACCCTCCTAAAACTAAGATTGCGAGAAAGAACACTGATTGGTTATGTTGGGTCGTTAGTTGGTTAGTTAAGGTGCTTCGTTATTGTTGGGATATCCTGGCTCCTCGGATTACTTGGGTTGCGGTTGGAAAGGTAAAAAGGGACGGTACTGAAAAATGTTCAGTTGTTCGGTTGGGCTGGAAGTTGAACCTCTAGGTAGTGAGGAAAGAGGAGAGCTTCCTCTGGAAGCTGTACGGCTGAGGAGCATGTATGCAAACGAATGCATGTATGTATGCATGTTTGTCCCTATCCCCTGTGTATGTATGTATGAATGTATGTATGTATATGCTTTGGCCAGTGGCGTGCGTATCGTGTGTTAAAAAAAAGAACCTTCGTCGTTTTCTTTTTGAACTCAACCTGATCACTGATAAGGTGGGGTTCAAAAAAGGTTTTGGAGCGGCTCAACGTCGCTGCGTGTTGCAGCAGTTGCGGTTGATTGACGAATTGGTGCATGTCTAGGTAGCCGTTTCTCTGCCCTTCCCAGCATCATGTATGTATGTATGTATGTATGTATGTATGTATGTATGTATGTATGTATGTATGTATGTATGTATGTATGTATGTATGTAACACATAGTGACCCTCAGCATTGTAATTTATGTGGGTGTTTTAGCTTTACGGGAGATTTATAAGGCCATGAAAGCAACGACATGGCTTCTTTAGGGGAACTTTCTTTAGGGGAACTTTCTTTAGGGGAACACAAGCCATGGATGTGCATGTTGCATGCCTCCGTCTAGGTTTGTAGGGAGACGGGGGAGAGTTGGATTCCAGCTTGGGAAGGAGGAGAAGAGTGGCATTGTGTTTACTATTTGCGACAGTGCCCTGTGTGGCGCCCCTTTTTTGGAGGGATCTTTTTGACCAAAATTTTGGAAGGAGGTTTTGAGAGGAGAGATGTGAGATATGATGCTGAGGGTTGCGGGGATTGCCTTCCTTTCCTATCCCCCTCGCCCCAGGAACACATCGTGGAGTATGTGAGCGGCCGCCGTGAAATCCTGGGGGGATTTTTTTTGTCTTGGTCGCTATCGGACCAGACATGCTGGTGCAGAAAGTTCGTTGACTGGGTGCTATTGGGTGCTGTGCAGACGGATGGACTTTCTTGCTGGCTTAACTTTAACTAATAATACGTTTGTGATCTAAGGCTGTTGGTTGGTTGCTTTCGCGGTAAAGTGTAAAGTTATTGTTGTGGCGGGAAACTGCCCACGGAGACCGAGGGGATTTTTTTTATGTGGCGCGACCCGGACTCGAAGCTGGGTCACCAGGGTGAGGATGTTGTAGTGTTGCCTACTAGATTATAGCGAAGAAGACGACGAACCCCGTCAGCGTCAGCGGCATTACATCCTAAGAAACTAGCCATACAGCTCAAGCTACTTGCTGACTCGCTGCACACAATCTTCTGTGTCCCTGTGAAAGGGCCCGTGTCCCCTTTCACAGTCGACTTCAAGTCCCTTGCCGGTAACCCCCCATCGACCAACAAAAAAAGGAAAAAGCTATAAATGGTATTAAGGGCTTCCTCTGAACTCATGTTCTTCTCCTTATCTCCTCCTCCTCCCCCGGAGTGTATGGGTATTGCGCCCGTTTTACCATCACCGACTGTGTGAAACAGAGAAATTTGAACTACGATAGTGGGCACGCCAGTGCCTCCGTATGTATGTATGTTGTTACAGGGTGGTACAGCTTCACCAGTGGCCTCCTTTCCCTTGGAGGCAGTTCCCTGCTCTCCCCTGCGAGAGGGTTTTCCCACCCTAATCCGGTCACCCCATCCGACTTCAGAATGTACTCATTGGGTTCGGCAACTCACCACCAGCATTCAACCAAATCTAGAGGATCAACGGCGCCACAACTTAGTTCCTGGTCAGCTCACAAGCTGCTATTATCACGTCCTACACCGTCCATAAGATGGGGGGCCACCTCCCATTTCAACACCCCTCACACACCGAGGGGTCGGCAGGTGGAATTGAACCCAGACTCTCCAGGAGCAGAAGTCAGGCCTTAACCTCTGCCAGCCACCTATGTACGACATCGTCCACACGCAACACGGTGCCACAATTTTGCTCCCACCCTAACACCCTGTATGTATGTGTGTGTGTGTTTTTGTGTGACAGAGGGTTTTGTTTGGAATTTTCAAACATAACTTCATAACAGACCCGGTGAACCTTCTTGCCGCTTCTTCGTCAGGACGTGTACGTACGACTGTAAGGGAAAATGTCGTACAGACTACCAAGTAGTGGTGACAGGCCAAGATAGTCCGTGACATTGGCCATTTGAAATCTTTTTGCGACGACAGCGTGTCACCCCCGGGTGATGCGGGTGCCGGCGCTCTATATGTGTAGTAGGACCGGAATGCGCCACACCAGCGGTGACCCTCCAGTACACGGATTTGCGCCCTGATATAAGGCCCCCGCGGCATTAAATGCACATAAAATGTGACCAACAACGAAAATAACAAATTTAACAACTATTTCAGTATTATCAGCATCCCTACAACCCTGTATCGTACGACCCTTCCGTACCCCGTGCACCACCTTGACAGGAAGTACAGGCAAGTGGCAAGTTCTCCCTTTCCTCTTCTTAACTCTGCTCTTGTAAGTGCGACGCCGTTATATCAGTAGAAAACAGCCGCAATGTCACAACAAATATAATGGCGGTAACAGCGCAGTAACATAAGCGCAATAACCCCAGCGAGAAGCACGTGCGTCATCGTACCGGGACGCACGAAACGACTGCTGCTGCTGGTGCTGCTGCTGGTGCTGCTGCTGGTGCTGCTGCTGGTGCTGCTGCTGGTGCTGCTGCTGGTGCTGCTGCTGGTGCTGCTGCTACAACCAGCTAATAAAACCAATAAACCAACCAACTAATAAAATAAAAGATCTTCTCGCGATCAAATGTATAAAAAGGTCTCAGCACTTCTATACCTCTTGTTCTCGTTCACGAAATTATGATAAAAAGATCTGTTCGACCGAATCCCGGGACTGAATCTGTTAACCACCAACGGCCACCAAGCCGTACGCATCCCCAGGGGACCTACGAAGAGCGTCTGCCTGCCTGGCGCCCCTCCCGCCAGCAGCTCTTCCTTTTCCGCTTCCGGTTGTCCCAACCTGCCGCCCTGTGGTGCAGCAGCGCCCCTCACTCGAAGACCTCAATTTCCCTACAACAACAGCGACAACAACAGCGACAACAACAGCGACAACAGCAATAATGCAGGGGGACCCGTGAGGGACAGATACAACGAAGCATTGGGGGACCTTGATTCCCTGAGCGGCGACCGTGGGGGGCCGCAGTTGACTGTCCAATGCGTGGTGAGGAGCCGTGTGGTGTCAAAACTCTTACACACACACACACACACACGCACACACACTGTCCCCTCCTTTTCCCCCTCCCTTTCCCCCTCCCCCTCCCCCTCCTGCACCCACCTGTCCTTCGCGACCCAATCTGTGTACCCTCCCTTGAGTACGGCAACATTCTTGAACCCGTCGCGGACCAGTTCGAAGGCGGCCACCATGGAGCGGGTCTGCGGTCGGTCGGTCATATAATTGTACATGTATTATATATTTATATATATTGTATATGTATATTGTATATGTATTATATATATATTTATATATAATTATATATATGTATATGTATATGTATATGTATTGGTTAACGGACTGACTGAACTGATTGGTGACATCGTCAACGTACTGAGAAGGAATTACCCTGGCACAGGGCGGTAGGTCAACCTGTACGGAAACTGCATAGCGTCCTCTTCCCCGTACTTGTACGACGAGAAGACGTACCTGCTGGCCATTCTTGTCGTTCTTGGTTGGCTCCAGAGATCCACCCAGGTTGCAGTACAGTACGACTGGTGTGGATTCTGGATCTGGCACGAGGCCCCGGACCTCTGCCAAGGCGGGGGATGATTGACAGCGTCGCGAGGTCGGTGCAAGAGGTGAAGAAGGTGAGGAGGTAGTGGGGGAAGAAGGTGGTAGGAGGGTGAAGAAGCGGCGGGCTAAAGAAAGTTTCCAAACGGTTCCCTAACGGACTTCACTAACCGACATAGGGCCCTGTCTGCACTCACCGTCAAGGAAGTTGGGATTGGCTTCCGTGCCCTGGGAGATGCCGAACAGTGCATAGCCAGCCCGCCGGGCGATCTGCCAGGGCGTCCTGGGGTAGGTACGGCAGGTACGGCAAGTACATACGACAGGTGTTCGGTAGCATGCAATTAACCATGCGATATATATACATATATAAATGATTCCTTTTTCATTCAAAATCCTGTTTGTTAGCTAAATAATCAGTTGGTTGGTTGTTAGGTACGGCGGATCCAAAAGTGCTGAGGAAGGACATCGCGGTGCATGCATGGCCGCAAACTACGCCAGAATTTGGAGGGGTAGGGGAAGAGGGGGTAGGGGGTAGGGGAAGAGGGGGTAAGGGAAGAGGAGGTAGGGGAAGAGGGGGTAGGGGAAGAGGGGGTAGGGGAAGAGGGGGGGAAAGATGAACCACAAACGAGTGAAGCTGCTGCCAGGGCAAGAGGGAAGAGGGGGGAGGGGAAGAGGGGGGAGGGGAAGAGAGGGAAGAGGGGGGAGGGCAAGAGGGGAAAGATGAAGCCGTGGGTGCGCAGGCAGCTATCCGAGCACTGGCGCTGCATACCGTCGACACCCCTAAAACCCCCAACATCATTGACACCTCCCCCCCCCCCAGTACTGAACACGTCGAAGCTTCTCGGCCTAACGGCTAACTGCAGATGAGGCGAGTATTGACTCTCAGAGACACCACGCCCTTGCGCAGTCCTCCTACATCAAAATTACGGAACACACCACACCACACCACACTAGGCGATACCACACCCCTTCACTCCATCACCCACCCAGCTCACATTCTCATTCACACACTCACCAGCCCTGAATGGGTTGATAAAAGGAGACGTTGGCCGCCCCTGGGAGGTGACCCTGAGTCGGGGGAGTTGAGGGGGAGGGAGAGGTGGTTTGGGGGTGGGTGAGAGGTAAGCCCTTGTACGACACAATACCCTAAGAAGCAGAAGGGCAAAGAGGTAAAAGCGGCGGGAATCACCATTGGGATGTACGACACAAAAGGGGGGAAAGTACGGGAGGTTGCGGGTGCAGGTGGACAAGGTGGGGGTAGGTTCAATAGAGTGCGAGTGAGGGGCCATACCCGGGGGGGGTTACACAGCCTGGATACACACGCGGTCGCACACACACATACATACATACATACATACATACATACATACATACATACATACATACATACATACATACATACATACATACATACATACATACATACATATGTATGGATGAGACCAAGCTTGACTAAGCTGCTACTATGACCGTCGGCCAACCGCGGCCGTGGCCACCGACAGCGACCTCAATTGTTTGAGCGTAGTTATGGTTATCTAATTAGCCTGAAAATGTCGCAGAGGCGACCAGCAGTGGCTGTTAGCCGCGGCAATGTTCAAAATGGCCGCCAGCCGACCTCAGCCGCGAGACCGCAATCCATACCGACCAAAAAGATAAAGGCCGTCAGTGGCTTTTACGGAACAAATGAAGGCTTGGCTTTCTACAGAGCCACACTAGAACTGGAACCGATCGTGGTGACAGTCCGGTGGCCAGCGGGCTCAGATACGGGCGACATCATCGCGCAAATATACGGTCCATTAGGACTTCAAATTCTGGCAACAATTGGCCAAATCTTCCGCAGCAACCAGGAGTTCAACCGTTGGGGAGGCCCTCGCATTCAAAAACGGTTGCTTTATCCGATGGGAAGGGAACGGCACATTGTGATGGAACTCTCCATCCTTGTGCCAAAAGGAGGTTTAGCAGCGTTGACAGCGACCAGGCGCATCGTTAATGGGCGATTGCGCGTGCCTGGGGTGCAATTGACCCCGAACATGGAGCCGATGGAAGTGGAGCTGCTGGTGAAGAACCAGCAACAGGCTAAGCCCATTGTGTGGGAGGTGAGAGGCGTCCCGGTCGGCCTCAGCTGTCAGGGCACGGCCGACTTCCTCACCCGGGCATACCGGGCAGACCCCAGTCCCCAGGACGTGACGGAATTCTCGCTCCTGGCCCCCACGACGATGGCCGACACGGGAGGCTGGAGCTACCAGCATCGCGCC